GTTTAGGGTTTAGGGTTCAGTAGTAGTACTCCCGTATAGTCATGTGCAACTATACTACTTCCCGGCACACGTCCTTGCTTCCCTTGTCCAGGCAGAGCTTAAGCATATCAATGCACACCTGCCCAGGTTTCAGGTGTGTTTCATCGGAGTTACTGCGCGTTTTGGAAGAAGAAGGGGTGGGTCGGGAGTCCAAAACCGCTTCATTCAGGAAGATACACCGCCCCGAAACTCTAAGGTTCCTTGTTCTTGAAGTTGCAGAAAAACTTTCATGCTGCTTCAGAATGGCTTTGCGAATATCTGCTGGGCTTCAGGCGAATATTCTAAGTTAGGGCTCCCTTCCTTCGGGTTTAAGATTTCTTTAGAGTGACGATATGTGCCGGCTTTTCATATGCATATATGTATATACACGGTACATACATACAGACATACTTACTTACTTACATGTGCATACATATATATATATATATGTATATATATATATGCAGCATTTGTGTATGTATTTGTTTATTTCGACTAACTTTGTATTTATACTTTCATGGTTTTGCTTACGTGGTTGCCTGATTGTTTCGCTATATAGTCATTTCCTTACTGTGTGGTTTTACACATTTTGCAGATTTATCAAGTGTTCGAGGGGTGTGGCTGTGGTGCTGAATTGTTCCGTTTAAGGTAAAGGTTGTTCTGCATGAGGGAGGCCTTGAAGCTGTAAAGTCGAGAGTGTAGGCAGGCTTCACTCTAGGGTTTAAGCTTCAGGATGTTGCCCTTAACGCTGAAACCTGAGGACCCAAAAACACTAAACCCTAAACCCTGAGCGTTTAAATGCCTGCACGGCAGAAAAGTGGGTCTGGGGTGTGGGGCTTGGGCTTAGGCCTGCGGGTTTTGGGTTTAGGGTTTTCGGGATTAGAGTTTCGGGTTTAGGGTTTAAAGCCTGTGGCTTAAAATTTTCGGTTTGCGGTGTAGCCGTCTTGGGGTCAGGGCTTCGAGGTTCTAATATAGGGGTCTGAATAATTTCCTCTGCGATTTTGGTGTTCCTTATTATCGTTATAGTAGAATATACGCCCACACCCTATTCTAATTATTAAGGTGGTTTTTGACATGCAAGTAAGGTCTGACGTCGAAGTCTTCCCCGGTCTTGATTGAGGCAGGGCCTAGAGTTTAGACCCTAAGGCCTAAACCCTAAACCCTAAGCCCAAAAGCCCATAAACCCTAAACCCTAAACCCTAAACCCTAAGCCCAAAAGCCCAAAAGCCCATAAACCCTAAACCGCTGTTCGGATCTGGGTTGTGGCTTTAGGGCTCTCAGGAATCGAGGGAGGGAGTTCAGACATTTGGTTTAGGGTTTAGGGCTTTTTTGTTGGAGGGCCCAAGGGTTTAGGGTTTTTTTTCTGGTGGTTTAGGGTTTAGGGTTTAGGGTTCAGGGTTTATAGGGTTTAGGGTTTAAGGGGTCTAAAGGGTTTAGGGTTGAAAACTGAGTGGCGGGTGTCGGGGTAATTTTGGGGGCCATGTACAGCCTTGAACTAGACGAAACCAACATGGATCTACAACCCCAAACCCTAAACCCTAAACCCCTAAACCCTAAACCCGTAAACCCCTGAACCCCCAAACCGTACACTTCTCCTTTAGCTAGGCGGGCGAAGTTAAGTTAGGGAATCTCCAAAAAACTGTGCCCAACATACGGAATGGAGGTGTTGTTTGAGGGTCTGGTGTTTCGGGCCTGTATCGAATATGCATATATACATATATAATTATATATATGTATACATATATATATATATACACATGTATACATATATATATATATATATACATAACATGTAAAACCGTGTAAGCAGTGAAGGCTACAGTGCACCTTGAGCAGTGGAATCGTTGCGCAAACCCTGAACCCCAAACTAAACCATAAACCAGAAGCCTGAGCCCTAAACCCTAAACCCTAAACCTCAAACCAGAACCCTGAGCCCTTAACCCTAAACCCCAAAGCTTAAACCAGAACCCTGAGCCCTCAACCCTGAACCCTAAACCTTAAACCAGAACCCTGAGCCCTCAACCCTGAACCCCAACCCATAAACCAGAAACCCTGAGCCCTCAACCCTAAACCCCAGCCCTTAAGCCAGAAACCCGGAGCCCTTAACCCCTTGAGCCCTAAACCCTAAACCCGTGCAGGGTGCCTGGGCACCGTCACCCTTTCTGGCGGATCGGCTGCTGTGGCTTTCCACGAAGTCTTTGACCTTCAACTTCGGAGCCTAAAGTAAAGGAAACTACAGGTGGGGAGTTTAGGGTGCCTTTAAGGGATCCTTTAGGGTTTAGGGGTTTAGGGGTTTAGGGGTTTAGGGTTTCAGGGTTTCGGGTTTTGGGGTTTAGGGTTAAAGGAAACTACAGGTGGGGAGTTTAGGGTCTATAGGGCTTTAAGGTATATAAACCTTCTATAAGGCTCCTATAACGATAACTACCCACCTGAAAATGTCTTGAGGGTTTTGACTTTCAACTTCGGTTCTTAGGGGCTCTAGGGGTTTAGGGTCTAGGGCTTAAGGGTTTTGGGTTTAGGGTTTTTGACTTTCAACTTCGGGGTGTAAAAGGGGGTTCTTAGGGGGTCTAGGGGTTTAGGGTCTAGGGTTTAGGAGTTTAGGGGTTTAGGGGTTTAGGGGTTTAGGGGTTTGGGGCTTAGAGCCTTGGAGCTTTTAACTAGAAGGAGCTATGAAGGTTTTACGAGGGTTTAGGAGGGTTCTGAGACAGTCATATTAAAGGGTCTAGACCCCAAAGCCTAAACTCTGAAACCCTCCACCCTGAACGTTGCGGGGATTAGGGTAGGAGCTTCGGGCGTATCTATCTGAGATGCTGGAAATTACGATTCAGGCTTTGGGCTTTGGCTTGAGGGTTGCCCTTCAGACCTGTTTAGGGTTCAGGGTTTTTGTTTTTTTTAAATTTAGGGTTTAGGGTTTAGGGTTTAGGGAATTTTGGCGCTACCGTTCTGATGATGCTGTCTTTCCTTTCCATCACGTCGTGCGGCACCGCACAAGAGACGATAGGCTGGGAGCAAGGGAATGGGCTCGATACCTCAGGTATCGATGGCTGCTAGTGGAATCATCATGTCTAACTGTCCAAGCACGACCACTGCTAGACTTACTTGTCGGGTATCATGGGGAANNATAGGGGTTATATAGGGATTGTACTACCCCAAAAAGGTTAAAGGTTACCTACCCTACTACTAGCTAGATGCGTAGAGCGGTCGAGGGGCTTTCTTGCCTTGCAAAGCCAACAGTGCTGTCCAGGGAAGGTTTGGAGAAATGGTGCTCGGTCAAGCCTAGACAGCAAAATACTCTTGACTTGAAGAAGATTCCATACATCCTGTACAGTCTCTATCCTTCCAATTGCGGGGAAGGTTGGGATCCTTGAGACAGGTTTGCTATCCCGCATCAGCTGAACGCGGCGGTCTGCGGGTTTCTTGTACCCCTAACCCCTAAACCAAAACCCCATGCTTGTAGGTTTTGTATAAGCCTTTGGAAGATTTTACCAGGCGCTTCCAGCTTAGATTTGGGTTGGTGAGTGTGCGTAAGGAAGGTGGTTTTGGTGTCTGCAGTTGTTACCATGAACCCCCAATTTTGTGTTGGTAATTGTCTAGGCCCTACAGTATATTTCGGCGTGGTTGCTCTACGTAGCAAAACCACCCTCAGGCGTGATCGTGACTGTAATGGTGAAAGGGAGAACCATGGTGATGGTGTCGATGAACACTTTATTAATATAGAATAATTACCGATATTACTCTGGGGGCTCCTTATAACTATACTATAAAGGAGCCCATAACCCTATTCTAGTTATTAAGGCCCCTGTAGTATTATCCGCACGATGTCCGTCATCATCCCTCCACGGACTAGATCCCTTGCTCTGTTCAGCATTGTCGGAATCGTTGCGGGCAATAGCTCTCAATGTGCAGTGTACTCTCAAGACCGGTGAGTGAGGAAGCAAGCTGGGCTTATGCTATTATATACTATAATATAACATTATATACTATTCTATACGATCAAAAACCATTCTAAACCATTATATACTACTATGTACCACTATGCCGGAATGTACTATTATACGGTAGTATATACTGCTATATACTCTTATATCTTATTAGATAGTGCTGTATAATATTACTATTAATGTACGATTACGAATACATACTACTTTGTACAATTATATGCTTTAACAGATCTCTTACTATTCGCTATTGTACTGGTATATGCTATAATACATACGGATTATAAGCCACAAAGGGCTGCTGTATACTTTTGTACAATTGTTTACTACATGTGTGGGCCATATAGGTTTCTCACACTTCCCGTGTTCCACCTCTTCGTTCTCCATGACGTCGAAGATGCCGTCACACGCCAGAAGCACCCAGTCGCCTGAGACGCGACAAGCCATCCGTCAGGCTTTAGGCGCGTACTTAAAGGATCATGGGACTTAGTAAGTAGGGTTATAACTAAGGTAACTATACTTATAACCCCAATTAGGGGACTTATAACCTTACTTGCTAAGTCCCATGATCCTCCAAGTGTAAGGCGTTTAGGGGCTTCGCTTTTAGGGTTGAGTCTGCTAGTGTCTCAGCTTTGCAACAGTACGCGCGTCTGTGGAAAATGCCTGTTGCAAATGGCAAATGCTGTTAGGGGCACACTTACATTCAGCATAACCTGCCCAAGGTTACCAGGTATATTATTTGGTAGACTGCATACACACTGTCCCGGTCAGACAGATCTCAGCTATGTAGAGGCCTAAATAGTTAGAACAGGGTTTGGGGGTCCATCATACTAAGAATATAATAAGGAATCCCCCAAACTAGTATAGGTAATCATTATTATGGCCCCTATATTAACGCCCTACGGCTTTTTATAATAAGGAATCCCCCAAAAGAGTGTGAAGTAGGGCATGGGTTTGGGCAAGTTTCACGCGAGAATCCCCCTTGAGCTTTTGGGGCCTTAAGGCGGCACCGTTTAGCCTTCAGGGTGGAACCTAGAACCCCAAAGCCCAATTTTGTATCCCCAAGCCCTGAACCAAAACCCTAATTAAAACGCTAAACCCCAAATCATCCTTGAACCCCAAACCTTAAACCCAAACCTCTCAACCACAAGCCAACTTTGAACCCTAAATCCCAAACCTGTGAGCTCCAAATCAAGTCTGAACCCTAATTAAACCCTGAACCCTAAACCCAAATCAACAATGAACCCTACGCCCTACGCCCTAGACCCTAAACCCAAAGCCCTAAGCCCTAAATCCTAAGCCGTAAGCCCTAAACCCTGAACCCTAAGCCCTAAACCCTAAACCCCGAGCCCTAAACCCTAAACGCCAAGCCCTAAACCCTAGACCCTAAACCCCAAGCCCAAAGTCCTAAACCCTAAACCCTAAACCCGAAGCCCTAAACCCTAAACCCTAAACCCTAAGCCCTAAACCCTAAGCCCTAAACCCAAAGCCATAAAGCCCT